CAATCTTTCCTTTCCTGGTCTGGTAACTAGATATTTTCACCCTCTCTTTCATCTGATTACGTAATGCCCAAGGTTTCCATTGTGTATGATCATTATTGTTCAGGATGAGGTGTTTATTATTACATATATATTATTATTGCTGTATGCATATATTGACTGATTGGTTTTTGTTTAAACATGAACTCTGTGCAAGTATGTTAAAATTATTTCTGTAGATATAGTTAATAACAATTTTGGCCTGTAAGCAGCTGAGCTGATGGGAAGCCAACAAAATAAGCAGTGATGTTACCATTTTATTATTCTGTACAAATCACTGACAAAGTCTCAGGAGTGGTGCTGATGGACACAGAGGACTACATCGCAAAGATGAATGCTGTGTTAAATGACCCGCTGAGGTTTAAAGTTGACAACTGCCAGAAAGATAAGACAGATGCTGTCGAAAAACGTATCACAACGCACTGAGAGATCTTCTTAAAAAGAAAATGATTAACAACAATACGTACAATGATTTGAAACCCCGAGGGTCCCGCTTGCCACACATGTATGGCCTTCCGAAAATACACAAAAAAAAACAAGTCCCCTGAGACCTATACTTTCGATGATCAACTCGCCCCAACATAAGGTGGCACATTGGCTTCCGGAGAAGTTGGAACCTATTCGTCAACGGCTAGGCGTGCACACTATGAAAGACTCATTTCATTTCTCTGAAAGTGTGAACTACATGAACGTTTTAAATAAGTTCATGGTGTCATTTGATGTAACCTCCTTGTTCACAATGATTCCAATCAACGAAACTATTGAGATCATTTGTCACCAATCTGATCTTCTCCCACTCCCAGAGTCGGAATTCAAACGCCTACTGCTAATGTGTACCATGGATGTGCGATTCCAATTTGACAACACTCTTTACCACCAAATAGATGGGGTAGCTATGGGCAGTCCACTTAGCCCTGTTTCAGCAGATATATTCATGTCCAACCTTGAAAGAACAAAATTGAAGCATGCAGTCGACGAAACAACTTCCTCCTGTCGATATGTTGATGACACATTTATAGTGTGCAACAATGAAAGTCATGCTTCACACTTACTAAGATTATTCAATAATGCACACGCCAATACTAAGTTCACTATAGATCATGAAAGTTTCATTTCCTCGACATCGCCATGGAACGCCTAGAAGACAGTAGTCTTCAAAAGTCAATTTATCGAAAGCCCACATGGAAAGGACAATACTTACATTTTAATAGCTTTTGTCCAAATAGCTTTAAACGTGGTCTAGTCAGGACGCTGTACTATAGAGTAAGGAGAATATGCTCTATAGAGAAATTAGAGGAAGAATTTGAGTTTCTTGAAAAGATATTGAAGAGCAGTGGATACCCTCAAAGGTTCATTAACAAATATGGAAGATCTGAAGTCACAAATGTAAAACAAACCACAGTAGGAAAAAAGCCAATCTACTTTCAGCTTGATTATAAAGGTGAAAACATTGCAGCGATGATCAACAGAAGGCTGAGCACATCACTAGACACAGCCTATCCTGCAGCTAAGCTCGTTCACGTCTATCGAACAACTTGCTGTTTGATGCAATCAAAAATCGATAGATATCCTTCTCATGTTAACTCCAACTGTATATACAAATTTACATGTATCTGCGGGAGCAGTTACATTGGAAGGACAGAAAGAAGGGCATATCTACGATTTTCTGAACATGTACCAAAAAGCTTACGTCTAAAGGGAACAAATGCTTTAAACAGTGACATCGCCAGGCATCTCCTCAACACGGGTCATGAGGTGGACGTCGAAAAGTCGTTCAAAATTATCAGGAGGCAAAGGAGCTCAATTCTCCTCAAGTTTGCTGAAGCCATTTTCATCAAGCGCCTGAAACCTGACTTATACATTTAGAAAGAAGCGGTTATCAGTCTTTCTTTGCCAACCTGGTAACTGGATATTTTCATCTCTCTCTTTCCTCTGAATGGGAAATGCTGAAAGGTTTTCATTGTGTATGGTTATTATTGTTCGGAATAGTGTTTAATATTGCATATACATATATTAATAGTGTATGCGTATACTGATCGACTGATTTTTGTTTAAAATGAACTCTGTGCAAGTATGTTAAAATTGTTTTTGTAGATACATTTAATAATGTCTTTGCCCTTTAAGCAGCTGACGAGAAGGCAACGAAATAAGCAATGGTGGTACCATTTTATTCTGCTAAAACTGTAGTTCTTGCCTTGTTCAAATTCATTTAGGGGAATAAATGTATGAAATCACTGTTTTTCTTGCTATGTTTGAAATCATAATCAAATTTATCAGGAGATACAATTAAATCAATCGTGGAGAATTCAAATAAGTTCTCTTCATATTGAGGCCTACACTGAAAATGCTGTCTAGGTAAACAACTGAAGCTTTGCAATTAAACAACCTAATTGACAGTGAAAATAGCCATATCAAAAATCTTCCACCCAAGGTATAAATAAATTTTCTCTATTGCTTCAAAACAACATTAGAACATCTACTAAATTTGTAGACACCAGTGCTTTTGTTGTATCACATTCTATTAAAAACATTTCAAAATTAAAAAAATGCAAATCCTTTCTTGTCTTTCATTAGGAATAGTTATAGTTTATCTTAATTTAAATGTGAAGTATAATTTTTACATTTAAACAACAAAAGTGTTCAATTGTCAATGCATAATACAAAACAGAATGTATTACAAAACATTAGCAACTGCCACAAAAGCAAAACAAAAAAACAACACACAATTATGTTGCATAATCTGTACAAATAAAATGAATATGCTGGAATATAAAAAGTGATTTTAAATATTGTTAACTGTTAATTGTTGCTTGTCTGTCTGTCCATTTGTTTGAATACTCTTGTTTCTCTACAGATGTCGCATTCTATGTTCAATGTTGAAATAGTCCATTTTAGTTATGTACTACTTGTCCAAACATTGGATTGTGTACCTTGTAAAGTGAAGAAGAAGAAAAAGAAAAATATGTGGACAAAACAATCATAATATGAATGAACAAGCTTATAGTCAGGTTCGTAGATGGTTAGAGGCACTCGTCAGGAAGTCTTCGATCTAGGTTTGTTGCTTGTCGCCACTAACCAATGAGTAAGATGTATCCGCAATTTTGAAGGAACTCATGCGCCTTCTGAGATTCGAACCCGTTTCACCCGACCCTCCAGTTGGAAACATCACTGAGATACTTAATAGCTCAATGGTGACATCTCCGACAGCGGCACTAGGTGATGCGGGTTCGAATTCCAAATGGCGTATGAGTTCCTTCAAGATATCAGATACACCTTGCTGACTGTTGAGTGCCAACTAGCACGAGACCTAGGTTCAAGGATTCCCGTGGCCGATTTCCTCCAACCATCTAACATTAACAATTCAAAGTGCACCGTGATGGTGAGCAGCGACCTAGTGGCATAGTGGCCGCATTGCAAACCTGACTGATCCAGTTCAGTCTTCACCAAACAAAGGACAAAACGTATGAAACTAGTTATTATCTAATATTCCATTGGAACCCATAATCTTCTATAACGTAATCAATTAAATTTTATTTATGACGTGTGTGACTAAAACTCATGGGTGTAGTCATTTAGCGGCTAAATTTTTAGCATTCATTAAAAGTAGTTCATTTCCTGTGTAAAATGACAATAAAGACACCATTCGCGATTCATGCAACTTCAAAGTATTCATCTCCAGGGTATATTTCTCATGCTTCTCAATAGGAGAAGCCATTTAATGCCTTGTGGATAGTTGTTTAAATAAATTGATTCAGAATCAAATTGTGTTTAAAGACATATTATCCGCTGATTCCGTGTTGATGAATGAATAACGTAACACAAATTTTGTGCAGACTTTCAGATGAAATCAAATGTCTATAAAATCTACAGTAAAAATTAGAATCCTACAGTGACTACTTTTCGAATACGAATAACATGAATTTCATCTAGCAACTTAACACCAAGACTGTCAGTATGATGCCATTACAATACATTTAACAGCAAAATATCAGTATTTTGAAACTGATTACACGAATTAATCAGTGGTAATGAGATAATGAATCAAGATGACGTAAGTATTGGAGAGCCGTTTCATTGGTTCAAAGTTGAGAATTTACGGCGGCCTGCTTAAATCAGTGGGCTACCAGAACTTCCATGCATCCATCAAAGTGCTCTTAAACTCTTCTGCATTTCTTATTGTTTAAATCATACAGCTATATTAAATGATCAATACATGAACTCGCGCGAATACATTTAACCAGCTTCTAACTAAATGCTGTGCAATTCCTGAAGGAAAAGCTACCCTTAGTACCTCTTTTTTATTATAGCTTGATTCCAAACCGTATTTTTGGCACAGGTATGGGATTTTTAGCATGTGATATCGGTAGCCCGAATTTCGCAGGCCAAACAACTGATATCAGGTGTGCGTCGGCAGGGTATCGAACCCCGGACCATGTGCGTGGTTAGAGAGAGTCCTAACCGCTGCGCCACCTCATTTTATTATTCTCTTCCTGCAGCACCCCCATTATATCATTCTACACTAATGTTTGTTCTATCTGTGTACAAATTGTGGACTTGCTAGTCTAAGGTACTACCAGGACATGTGAACAACGCTGTTGATGACTGTTTCTGTACATACTCCTCCAATTATGTAAAAATATTCATAATAAGTCCTCTGGTTTCAAATGAAGACAATTATTGACTTTTTATAATTGTTTCAAGTCTGACCCTGGATTGATACCAGCTAGACAACCATTGAAAACTTGTAGCAGAGTACTGGACAGCCAACTGCTTCGTCCTAGTTTGGCACTCATCATCAGTATGCATCCACTGAGGTTGGAAGCCAGGCCTAGTAGAAGTTAGAACTCATATTCTGGCTACTGAGTCGGGTCCCATTGGCTGAATGGTCTATAAGTCAAACGTGTCACTGGAAGGTCCTGAGTTCCAACCCCGCCGGTCGTCGCGTATTGTCAAGCAGTCTCAATCCCTGATGCAACTTGAAGTAAATCAAATCTCTACAAATGAACACTTACAAATTATTACTATTAATTATTTGTCTGAGATGTTGGTTATGATTAATGAGTTTATCCGATTAACTTTTATAAGAATAAAGAAATTTTCATATGAAAGTATCCTAGTGAGATTGCACGTTTGGAAAAGAGTGCTTTTGTGGATTAAATGACGGGTAATACAATAAAAATCAAGCTGGGCACTGTTGCAAGTATGATATGTCATCAGTTTCAAAATTAAAAAAAGAGAGAGATTTTATCATTAAGATATGACAAAATGTCATTTATACGCCTTTTCTATCTCATCAATTTTGAATTTCATCACACATATTCAATGTGCTAACTTTAATAAGGTATAAAACTAAGCTACCTACATAGCTACGCTACAGGTGAGGTTAAGTGAACATTAGACAATGCGTAATTAATCAGTTTGTTTTAATACTGTAGACAGTTTAAGAAATGATTACCTGCTGTGCCTGTGTGCATAAAAATTCTAAAACAAACCCTCAACATTCTTTACTTGCCTTGTGTAACGCAAACATACACCATATCTATATAAATATATACACATATATATGTATATACTTGATGACGTAATAAGAATGTCTCTGTGAGATGCAACTCTAAAAATACTGCTACAGCTCTACCTAGATATTATTATGAGCTATGTATTACTTTTTAAGTACATTGAATATTGAATATCCAACCAGGCACTTTTGTTTCCATAGATTTACGCTTGTTCCGCGCATTTTAAATTGTTAATTTTCTTTTGTCTTTAAATCTTCTGAAGAATGAATTGATAAGGTATACATTTGAGATCATATAATATTCATCATTCTGGTAGACAGATTATTGACTAAAAAGTACAAATGAAATAATCTCATCACTGAGACATGACCTAATGCTCATCATCTAAGCTGGACTGTGTTGTTTACTTATTGATAATAGATAAATGTGAACTGATCATGTGTTTTTTTTTTATTATGAAAATAAATCCAGCTTTGAGAACGCAGATAAACCAGTTGGTAAACATAAAAAGTAAAAAAAAAAAAAAGAATATTGAACTAGGTGATTGTAGGCAGGGCTGTGAGAGTATCAAATTTTAAATTGCATATTTTTCTAAAGGCTTAAATTCACTTGTATTTAGAGTAGGTACCTTGTTTTATTCATAATAATGTTTAGCTACTGCAATAGTTTGTCTGAATCATAATGAGTGTCGCGATACCTTGAAAAGTTTGTTAACAGAGCTGTAGTTTGACGAACTATACAACAGGTTAGAATCAGATGGCTGCATGCTGCAAAACGTACCATGTTTATCATGTTCATGTAACTATATCTTACACGAGACCCATCAATGATGACCAGTTTCCAGTTTTTTGAGTTTGTAATACAGGAAAGCTGACTATATGATATTTACTCAAAACCTAATATGGAACTCATAAAATTGGTTTTAAGTGATATTTTCATAGGGGGAAAATGATTTCTTTTCATATGTCTGTGTCTCCTAATGATGTTTAAAACAACTCATTAAATTTCTGTTTCATCCTAATTTGGGACTCTTCAGTGGTATTCACATATGACCCTGTAGCTAGGCATTGAATTGAGGACCTCCAGGTTACAAGATGAGTTAGCTGAGCATTCAGCTGCTGGGAAGGAATCCAGACTAGTGCTTACACGTAACTGACTAAGAGATGAAATCGCCTGAAAGTCTAGTGGGAATTCGTTACCAGTGAGGTACACTTATTTGGGTGTGGGGAAAAGAATACTTACTGATGACATTGGCTGACGGTTGGACTACATATCGCGAAACTGATGAGAATGGTCGATGAGCTCGCCTTACAGCTTGAAGGTCTAGGATTCGGTCCCTGGTTGGGTCTTTACAGTGTGCTACTGATGAAACGTTGTCCAGTGCTCCCCGCTGGTTTTCAATTTATTCCTTAATTCACGTTCATAAATAAACTCCTATTTTTGAGGCAATTAATTATTCATCGATCTCTGCAAGTAAGGGCTGGCTTCAGAAGCAAATAGAATCCTCGGAACCCATTAATGGTGAGAACAGACGACCTATCTCTTCCACTAAGAAATATATATTATTCAGACAGGACATAAAATTGATGTTTACACGTCTTTTAAACCTATCTATCTATAAAACATGCTTGGGGTGTATCCTAATGTTTGTGGAAGCTCTAGCTGGCAATTAGGAGGCTTAAACCACCTTTATACGTTCAAAAACACTTCGTCATTGCACCAGACTTTCCTTAGTAAACTTTGTTCTGATATCAACTAGGGTAGATGAACTATTACCTCTGTTATTTGGTTTAGTGATCTTCTTTGTTATTTTGACCTTCAATATGTCCTTTTAACTTGACTTAAGTCTATTTTCTCATCTCTTAACTCTTTATTATTTTCACATGTATATATACTCCTATGAAAAGTCCATGTGTAATTAGATTGTTCAAAATGTGTTGCGCGAATACACATTACACAATGATGTATTCTTATTCCCTAGTCTAAATTTAATTTTTCTTGACTGTATTGCTTCGTTATTTTTTCCTACTTAATGGATAATCTATCATTGTATCTGCCTCCTCTATTACGAATATTAGTACGCTTCTCAATAAACGGTTGATAACTAAACTTAACAATTTAGCAAGAACACCGGCAAAGCCCACATACGGACAATGTCAAGTACTCAGTCTCTGTTACAACGTACCAGATCACTTAAATGCGCCTCACCCATGAACAACTGATGTTCTTACAAATATAAAAACCTACTTCAGGACTTGCCATTCAAGCAGTGAGCACTCAAATTCATTCCTCGTTTACCTTATTCATTCTAGGCATTTGATTAGTACTATAAGCCTTTATTATTTATTTATTTTTTATTTTTGATTACAGCTTGATGCCACACCATATTTTCAGTACAAGTATGGAATTTTCAGCATGGATATCGGTAGCCCAAATTTTGCAGGCCGACTATAGATATCGGGTGTGCGTCGGCAGGGGATAGAAACCCGGACCATGTGCATGGTCGGTGAGAGTCCTAACCACTGTGCCACCGACGCTTTATATCACCGGGTAATATATAAAGACACCCTTGTAAATGAGAAGAATCATATCGCTGATATCAGTAATCCTTATGAAAAACTAAGTATCATAGTTACTAAAACATAAAAATGATCTCTGTGGTCAAATGTATACCATATATCGACAGTGTCGTTTCATTTTGATCGAATAAAGTGAGCTATGAGAGGACACATCTTTTGAAATTACTCCTAATTTTCACTGTCCAAGCTTTTTTCTAAGATTGCATAAATAGGCGTCTCATTAGGATTAGGCCGATATCATCATCTGCAATTAATAGTGTTCTCTGAGCTGGTTGTTTTAGTTGCGAAGCTTTCGTCGTCCTTCTGGACAACATCTTCAGCGCAATATTTAGCATAAAGTGAAATGATTTAAACTTTTTCATGAGTGATATAATTTCATCTCCCGGTAACCATCTTTACATATGTATTGATCATTTTCTATTGACTTGGATTTTAAACTTTCTGGTCACATGATCTAATTTTTATAAGTTGGTATATTTCGTCTATATTAACGTGTTTGTTAATTGCATTTTCGTTTGAATACCAGGCTTCTAGGAATTCCCTGACTGCACTTTTAGTGTTTCCTTTTAGTGTCTAAGATTTCAACATTATCTCAATCAAACTGATGTCTATAATTGTCTATATGTATTGATATGAAAAAATACATATCGTGTCTTTTCACGGCTGATTTGTGTTCTTGGATTTTGATTCGAAGCGGACGTCAATTTTGGCCGGTGTAATGCCTGTTGCAGTTCATACAATTGGTTTTCTAAATGGCATTAATTTTATCTCCTTTTCCTGTTAGATCTTTCGATCTTCATTCTATTTACGTTTCAAGTGGAACATACCGCTTCAAGTGGGAGCTTTGAAGTCTGAGTAGAGATGTTTTTTTAAGGAGTGGTATTGCTAGCCTCATGCCTGACTTTCCTTGTTTACCGGACTTCCTACCAGCTAAAGCAGGGTTTAAAAGTACGTCAGGCAGGAATCCAATCCAGCGCTCAAGTCTCATGTACATATCTGCTAAAGTAATCATCTAATACAATCCAAAATAAGATCTCACTGTGAAATACTGAAATACACCTAACACAAACTTATTAACCGTCCAATAATCTGGAGATGGCTACTGTTTCAATGTCAGTGAACATTGAATAGTTTGTTTATTCGAACTGGCCTTCAAATTGGCGGGATACAAGAAGGCTGTCATTACTTAATCGTGTACTGGTTGGCAGAATATTGGAGAAATACGATTAGAAGTATTGTTGTATATTATATTAACGCTTATTTACAGAGTTTGGCATTGATTAACCATTGTAAATCTGTTTGCCCAACCAACCAGCCGAAAATGAGCTCTCATCATAGCACTAACCCACTGTATTAGAAAAATCTGCAGCAGTGACTGCGTGGAAGAGGAGCTCCTACTCATTAAAAATATCCTGACTCAAAATGGTTACCCGACACGTTTTGTCGAAAAGAACATGAAACGTAAACCAAAAAAAAAGAGAAGAATGCGATTCAGCGCCAAAGAAAACGCTGTATCTGAATCTGCATTTCAGGAGAGATTTGGCAGCCGACATCATAAAGAAGAGAATATCCAGCTCTTTAAAGAAGACCTTCCCTACAGCAACACTAAGAGTGACATTCTCTAGCCGCCCAATACTTCGAAACAATGCGAAGGACAAACTCTTGCATATGACCAATTCAATGTGCATATACCAGTTCACCTGCTCGTGTGGAGCTAGGTACATAGGTCGTTGTATGCGCGTCCTTTCAAAACGTGTTAGAGAGTATTACCCAGCGTGGCTGCAAAAAGGAGGCACCGGTTCAATCAGAAGTACCATTATTGAACATCTGATCAACACCTTCCACAACATCTCAACTGATTCTTTGGAAGTAGTTTACAAAGTTAACCATTTTCTGTTGTTCTGCGTCGATTACAGTGCATAGTGTTCTGTGTATTAGACTAAGTCTTCTGAAACCAACGATAGATCCAGGATCTCTACGAGCTGGATATTTGACAGCTACTTTCAATTATTCTGATTGATGACAAGAATCTAAGCACAATTACTGATAAATTAAATTTTTGAGTCACTTGTTTCTGATATAAAAAATAATTTGTACCAATGATTATGCCAGTAGCATCGAACAGGCAACACCACTAGCACAGTGAACAGGCATTAGTCTTCGTAACTGAGACGTAAACCAAATTAGAGCTTAGAAAATTTAACAAATATGAATGCTACACGAGTTCACCAGTGTCAACAAAGAAATAAACAATAAACTTCAGAAGAGATTAAAGCATCTTACAACAACACTTACTGTCCACATATGAAGCCGTTTGAACATAACTTTCTGTAACAGTTCTTAACAGATTTCCCGAAGATATTTGACTACATCGAAAATCTAATGCTTCACTTGCTGTCTCCAACTTTCTTTGTTGCCGTTGACTCTTCACTTCCATGCTATTACAATGATCAATAACTTCATCAAGAAAATTATCAACATGAATCGCTGGAACATTTGTGTAGACACGTGTTCTGCACAGTGGACATGTTTGCCGTATTTTAAACCAATAATACAAGCATTCACGACAAAATTGATGTCCACACGGGAGTAGACGTGCTCGAACCAGTAGGCCACGACATATTGAACAAGTGAATGATTCCTTGATTAGATGATCTAACGCTGTGTTCTCTGTCAGTTGAATATCATCCAAATCAATAAATGTTTTATTTTTATACGTTTCCAGTTGACTGATTATTTCAACTACACCGGCATTTGTTGTCTGATGGATAGTAGTACACGATTCAGCGTCCACGAGACAACTTGGTAATACTTCAGCGACTTGAGTTGAACGACTCATAAATGATAGCTGCATATCAGCGGATGTATGGATCATGGTGTTTGTTGAATCTATGCTAGGTAGGTAGGTAGTTAGTTAGTTAGTTAATTAGTTAGCTGGTTAGTTAGTTAGCTGATTACTTGACTCAATGATACAATTCAGCAATATTCACACACATGTATATATATACTAGATCGAACAAAGGCATAGTTTGTTTTCTGCATAGATCAGCTGACATTTTGTGTGTGTTATGTGATAGTAGATAGTAAGTAACATTAGGCATAGGTGCAATATGAAGCAATTTACCAATCACAGCAATATTTTCTTACATTTGTAACAAGACAGGTAGATAGAGAGATAGACATAGATTTGCATTGTTGAATTGATCACCAATAAATACACTCACTGTGTGTAATTCTCATGTGAGAATAATTCTACGTCCTTCGTAAACTTATTATGTGCGTATATTTACACGTAAAGACAAGGTGAGAATGAGTTGAAAGTTATGTCATTCACATAGCATAAACTGAAATATTACAACAACAAGAAAACAAACAAAAAAAACTTCGCAGTATTCACAAAATGCTAAATATTCCTTTTCAAGAATTTATTTTGTTAGAGAGAACTGTTGAAATCACTGGGTTCGGGAGTCGGTGAATGCATACTGTTGATGAGGCCCAATGCGGGACGAAACAGATGCTCAGTATTCCGCTATTGGTTTTCAATGGTTTCCTAGCTGTGATGTTAATCCATGACCAAAAGTGAAAGAAATCAAATCTTTACAAACAACCTCTTTTTTGATGTGGTTGTGTTCTCTGAGCTGGATAGTTAATTTGCAAAGCTTTCATTGCCCCACTAGACGACATCTTCAGCGCATACTTCAATTTGTTGAAGTGAGCTTTCAGATTTCCCCACGGGTTTATTAATCATCTCTTACGGTGACCTTGGAGGTGATTGATTGTTTTTGTGTGTTTTCACACCTTCTAGGTTACTTGTATTGTCACTCTTTGTTTCCTTGACTTGAAATTTGACCCTTTGTGTGTGAGATTTCCTTCTTATCGGTTGGTGAATTTTGTCTATGTCGATGTGTCTATTGATCGATGATTCACTGGAATACCAAGCAGGCTTCTAAAAATTCTCTAGCATTCTTGTTGTTATCAAATAACATACAAAAGGAATTGTATACAAACACTATTCAAGAGGGCCAGAACTCATTGCAGCACTCCCACCTTAAGGAAGGTTGAAGAAAAAAATCTCATGGACGTCTTCCAAAAGAATGGATATCCACGGAATTTCATCAAAAGACATATACCCCCCAAGCCTACCTATAAAAACAAAAGCCCCTAAGGAAAGCACAAAGAAAGTCGCCCTGCCATATATAAAGGACATCTCAGAAATCACTACAAGACTCTTCAAACCTTTAGGAATTGACGTCGCACACAAACCAACAAAATCACTTCACTCAATTCTATGTCAATCGAAACACTCAACAGTGAAAGAAGATAAAACCAACATCATCTACAAAATAAACTGAAACAACTGCGAAAAACACTACATTGGCCAAAGTGGATGTCCCTTTTGTCTTCGTATCCACGAACATAAGCTAGCCGTCAAAAGACATGACATCCACTCCCTCACTCATATCACTACATACAGACAACCACGGACATCGATTCGACTGGGACAACCAGTGTTCAAATATTAGACAGAGGAAACAACAAAAATGCTAGAGAATTTTTAGAAGCTTGGCATTCCAGTGAATCATCAATCAATAGACACATCGAGATAGACAAAATTTATCAACCGATAAGAAAGACACCTCACACACAAGGGGTCAAATTTCAAGTCAAAGAAACAATCAGTTCCAATACAAGTAGCCTAGAAGGTGTGAAAACACACAAAAACAATCAATCACGTCCAAGGTCACCCATCAGGAGAGATGATTAATAAACCCGTGGAGAAATCTAAAATCTCACTTCAAATTGAAGTATGTGCTGAAAATGTTGCTCAGTAGGGCAATGAAAGCTTTGCAAATTAACTATCCAGCTCAGGGAACACAAATGCATCAAAATCGTCCACCTGAGCTACAAATCTTCCTATCATATCTAAACAAACTCTTGAAAAATTATTCTGATGCACGCTAGCGACTGACTACACGACGGAGTTGCCTGAAGTTCTAGTACGAAGTCGTGACCAGTAGGGTCATCCCAGTTGGGAGTGAGGATAAATACTCGCCAGCGATGATATTAGTTGATGGTCACGCCAGAAAAAGAGCACACACGGGTGGAAGTTAAAATTCATGGGCTTGTCATTGAATCGGGTCCCAGTGGCTGAATGGTCTACGAGCTGTCCTTGTAACCAGAGGGTCTTGGGTTCGAAACCCAGCGAGCATGTACTTCTGATGAGTTCCAAATTAGGACGAAACAGCTCCCCAATACTCTCTACTGGTTTTCAGTGGTTCTCTAACTAAATCCAGGTTGCGATCAGTTTTTTAACTCAATCAAATTGTTGGAAACCGACTCTCGTAAAGAAAAAAAATAATGTCAAGCTACAGGTATTAGTTGGAATCTTTGTTCTTTATATATGTATCAATTTCTGTTCTGAAAATATTGATTAATATAAACACTGTACATTGTTCACTTCTGCAGTGAAATAAAGGTCAGTGAATTTATGTTTTTTTCATGCTTTTATTATCTAGGTAGAAGTACACAGTGTATCAAGAAGTGGCCAAGTTACACTTCAAGCACCACTAATTATCAATCAGTGAATGACCTTGAATGGTCCATTGAGTTTCATCCACGTCAGTTGAAGGTTCTATTCCGCTTGACTCGAGTCAAATGTCTGCTCTAACGCTGTTGCGACTGCAGTTTGGTAAGGATAAGGTTTTCTAGTATTGCCTGGATATGGGGTTGATTAGGAAAGAAAGGATCTGTTCTTTTGTAGGTGTGAAGAGTATAAAAAACTTCATCAGTTCGATTGATGGATATGTGCATCGTTATGCAATTTATTTGAGACGAGTAAGCGTCAGGGAAGGCAAGCTTATGATTCTAATATTTCAAAGGGACATGTTTTGCCAGGACCCACTGGGTTTTATAACATCCCGTGAGAGGCGTAGCTGTTGAAAGTGAAAATAGCCTCGTGTCAAAAGTTCAATGGTACCAGCACTGCGGTGATATTGCATCCTGGAAAATGGAGAGAATTACTGCGTTACTAGGAGGAGGAGGAGAAAGTGTCGTCGTACACTTGGATGAAACTGTCCTATTGCGGAAAAAATACATCCATGGTCATGAAAAAGCAAACGATGTTTGGGTGATGGGCTTATATGACACATTCGTACAGGAAGGATTCACTCGACTTGTGAATCGGGGATCTATAATACACACCAATGAGTGGAGAGGTTATAACTCCCTATCATCCCTTGCATATATTCACCACAAAGTCAGCCATTCTAATGATTTTTTGGATCTTATTCAAAGAGACACACACCAATTATATAGAAGGCCTTTGGAGAAGGTTATATAACGGGATTAGGGCTATTAATGGATCTCAGTGGGATATCATTTATAGTCATTTAGATGAATATATGTAATGGATGTGGCGCAACTTTTTAGTTGATACCCCTATACTGAACTGGGAGATGCTCTCATCACATGAGAGAGGAAGGTATCCTATGTAGCAGTTCTATACAGTTCTTAACCAAAAATGCCTCCTCCATGTGATTGGTATGTTCAGTGTCATTCGCTGATTGGTAGTAAGCGGTGCTTAAAGTTTAACTTTACTTTTTTCGGTCACTGAACGTTTAAACTTACCGTCAGTGGGAAACACTACGAAATTCCATGACTATAACTTCTCGTCAAAAACTTAAACCTGTGTCTATCATATAAAGGTTATTTTCAATTATCAACATTTGTTAGATACTTCTGCACCTCTCTTGAGGTTTTCTTTTATAAGAAAAAGGCACAAACAGCGAAAAAATTTCTTTTCGACGATTCATTTTCATGAGCTGTCTAATCGTAATTATAATTAACAAAGAAATCTTTAAACCAATCAGATACTGGAAAATTTTGTCCTTGGAAAATTGTATTACATAATGTAAGGTGTAAGCAAGGGTGACTAATTGTAAGTTAGTTTTCTTCTATCTTCTCTTCTCAGAGGTACCGCGTTGGAGCGCTGCATATATTCAGTAATGCTGTTCTCTAGGTTATTATTACTCAAATGGATTGTTAAAAATCACTAGTACATATATCTGGCTGATATTTGGAATATTTTTAGCACCTCTGATGAATACTGGAACAACCTCATTCGCGAGAGGTGACTGTAAACTACTTCAGCCCGAAACAAAACTGCTTAATGAATGAAATGGTGGCCTTGAGTTACCAGTCAGGTGAGTCTGTAGTACGTAGGTGAAATTATGGATAGAGTTTACGAACAAAACAGCAAATTTCATCCACTTATAGTGTTTTAAGTACTTCTTAGACAACAGGCGCATTGGAAGGGAGAACACGTATAGCCAACTATCTTCCCTGGGCTGAGTCCATAACGTGGTCAATAATACGGACGATTTCGTTAATCATTTCGAGGGGCCCACACATCTTCAAGGTCATTCGCTGATTGGTAGTTAGTGGTGCTTAAAGTTTAACTTTGCCGCATCATCTATCTGTAGATACCGAAGACTCCAAACAGCAGAGGTCATTGCTATTCGCTTAAATCAATTGGAGCTTTCCTTGCAAAAACAAACAGCTCTACCTACTATTGCTAACCTGGCCTTCTGTCAAATCTATAAATTCATACATTCTGTGTGTTACTTTCCTTAATTTATCTCATATTTAATCAGTTTAGTGCTATACTAATGCATATTACCTTTCTCTCTTACTGATACTTTTGAAATGTAATCTGTCATCACTGATTATTGATTCAATGTAATTTAAAATAACATTAATGTTATTAACAAAAATAATTCCTTAATTATTCCTGTCATATAAACGTAAAACCTGATGAAGAAGAAGTTATCGAAAATCTGAACATTCCTTGTTGATCAATCAGACTTTTTAATACGAAAAAGGTTTAAAATGTCAGCATAATGAGTATACCTCTCAAAATGATTGATAACATTGCCTTTATTGCTATTTAAAGGTAGAAATTTCAAAAATGCTTCGATTATTTAGTTGACGTAAATAAGTATCATCTGCTTTAGGTCTGATATAATGAGGCATAATAATGAAGTATGAAAAGCTATGGAATAATGTTTCACTATTATTATTA